TTTTGAGAAAGGCCCCTTGCGCAAGACCTCCATCCCGGTGGTGGTAAGAGAACCACCAGGATTGAGGCTTTGCCTGACGGGCCGCTCCATCTATTGGTGGGGAGCGTCACCTGCTGGAAACCGGGTCCAGCGTCCCTTGAGTAACACATTGACATTCAGTACATCATTAGAAGCTACGCCCATGCTGGAAACCGGGTCCAGCATCCCATAATGGTCAATCCAGCTCTCCTCCCCTGCAGCTAGGCCGGGTAATGGGGGGGAGGCACCGGGGGGCACCAATGTAAGCTCCCTCCCATCCTTGGCTGCTGCCAACCAATCGTCTAGCCTTCGGGCGTCTGTTGTCTCCAAACAATGGCAAAGCCGAGGACAGAAAGAGCGAGATAATCCTACTGTTATCTGTCTGCTGTGCCTCTACTGAAGGTAGAAGAACCCGCATTAATCCTGAAGATCATTGTTTGGTGGGGAGCATCACCTGCTGGAAACCGGGTCTAGCGTCCCATAGATACATCCTTCAAACCAGCGCATCTTTGAAAGTGATGCCCGTTGCTCAAAACCGGGTCCAGCGTTCCATATGTAGGTTTAGGGGAATGGTCTGTCTGACCCCCGAGACTAGAAGAAAAGCACGTGCTGGAAACCGGGTCCTGTGTCCCTTACATGAAGACAGTATCACTACTCAGTTGTTTCCACGAGGGACAAGGGGTGTGGGGGGAAAGGGTCGGGAAAATCGGAAGCTGGCCTCATTGGCCAGCTCGGGTCAATATCCATCCACTCTTTGAATTGTTGGCTGTAATCTCTTCTTACCTTCTCTCTCCCCCCTTGAAGATTCTCGTCCGCATCCCCGGACCATCTCACCTGCGCAATCCATCCGTCCCTTTCCCCTCCCAACCATTCTTGGCAAAATTTCGTGATGTTCTCTTTAATGTCTTTTGGTTGCTGAAAACCATCTAGCTTGCGTTTTACAGTCAGCCATCTATCAGTTATTTCCAATTGGAGTTGGCTTCTGATATGTTCACGCACTTCCTCCCCCTCCAGTCGTACATCCTCCATTGTCAAGACACATCTTTGCCACCATAGCGTCCATAGAATCGTTCATCTCCCCAGCTCGAACATGTTGTTCGCAAATTCCTCTTCGGGCCGTGCTGGCCAATAGCCGGTCAAAATGGTCCGCCAGTCCCATGGCCAGAGGGATCTGGGGACTATGTGCTGCCAAATCCGGTCCCACCAACGCCAGGTGAGGACAGCGTTCGGGCACTGTAGAAAGATGTGCTCTATGGTTTCGGCTGCTTTTTTGGCCGGGTATCCCTGGAGGCATCTGCTGCACCAGGGGAGCGCACGACCCTGTTGTTCCAGCCTGGTGTGGTCAATCAGCCAGTTATTGGTGGGGAGGCACCTATGAGATAGCTGCCATTGCAGGGAGGTAATTTTGGCCGGCCGCCGCTTGCATTCCTGGAACCACCGCATTGGTGTGAGCAGATGTCTGTCAACATTTAGATGTCTGTACCAGCGATCTACCACTGTGTCTCTTAGGTTCCATCTTGGCCTGGTCAGCCTGTATGTGGTTTTAACAGAGAGGTTTTCGAGTGTTGTGTCTCTATGGGCAGCACTGCGTGGCGGGCCAGCAGGATGCCATCTCCACTCGATCGGGTCCAAGCCCAAGTCTATGATCGGGGTTCCGGGTCTGTATACCCAGCGGTTTTCTCCTTCTCCCATCATTCTAACCCGGTCAACTTTCTCTTTGTCAGTCCAGACCCAGGGGGCGGTGCTGCCAATTAGTCTGTTTCCCTTTGTTATGGTGAAGAATTCAATTAGCACATCCGTGGG